CCCAAATGATATTAGATACGAAACTACACGGTGAGTTACTCTTTCAGCTCTGAAAGTGACCCATGCCCCATTAACCCAAAAAGGATTATGGCTATTTTGCAAATATTTCACTTTTATATTTTTTCCCCGCACTGGGGAATGCATAAAATTTCGTTCACCAATAGACTTTCCCATCACCCGGGCATCAACATTTTCCGCCTCATGGGAGAAATTAACACTATAATTTGAAACGTAAATATGCATGCAATGTTTTCAACTTACAGGCATTCTTGACCAAGGTGCTGGGGTTCTGATTATCTTCGACCACTCTCCAGTGGATAAAACGTACGAAAATAGCTTGGAGATAATTCATAGCATGAGTAAAGTGATGGATGCTTTGTATCATAAGAGTAAAAAGTTATCATAGACACCTACTCAATGAAACCTTATTCATATACTATTTAGTTTTCATCTTGTGCCATTTTTTCAGTTCAAAATATAATAATTCATTTTGTCTTGGTAATTTAACCACAGTATACAAGATGTATGAAACGGAAGGCCTTTATAGAAATTGGTTTCTTGTTTTTTTTTCCTGTGTAACAGTATATCATGTTCTTTGCGAACGAATTACCACGTGCACAACCATTGAATTAAGCGAGTGACAAAAATAAACAAGATGGACGGCGGCGCTCTACTCGATAAAAGCAAAACACATTTTCGCCAAGGCTAATCCGCTACACCATCTTACAGGTGCAGGCGTTGAATTTACACCTTTACTACAACTTGCAGGGCATCAGATCCCAGAACAGTGGAAAATGATATATGACGTCATATCACGATATATGACGTCACATAATGGTGTGTGACTCTTAAAAGCAGGCTGGCATTTTGAAGCAGTTGCGATTTTTTTGGGATTATTGTAAAAGGAAAATCTCTGAATTTTTAAAACAAGACAAGTTTGTGGGGACACCGGAACGATGCGAGGGCAAAGAACGCAGATTTGTGTGCAGGGGAACTTCTGTAGCGGCGCATAATAAAAAAAGTTTCCAAAACATCGTCTGTTGAACTTCGTTTCGTCGTGTTTTCTCTTCCCAAAATAATTTCGGTGTCTGGGAGCTAGAAATTATCATCAGACGATTGTGTGCTATTCTTGATGCTCGTTGGTGGCACTTTTTAATCTTGTATATTCAAACAAATCAATCATTGCTTTTTATTAATGATCATATGGAAATTACAAATGTCGATTACGATGAAATATTAGATGTGAGGCATTCTATATTGTTGCTACGCCAGTGTTCGAGATATAATGACTGATAATAGAAATGTACAATTAATCATAATAACAAAGTAACTACAGTAAATCATAAATTAAATGTTGATGGTGGTTTGGGGAAACGAAAGTAGAAACATACGATTACGAAGACCATGTCCCAGACGTTCGAAAAAAAGAAGCTCAACCTCAGGTCCTCCAGCAGGAATCGAAGCTACGGCTGTGCGATTCCGGCCAGAGCTGTTCTCTTTCCATGCACCATCAACATTTAATTCATGTTCAATTGAAAACAAGTGCAAATTAAATGAAATGCAATAACCAATCAATAAGCCGCGGTATAGTCGTAGTTATATGATCTTAAAATTCGTTAATCTGATCACTTCGTTTCGTCTAAGAGGGTATAAGAGATACGTGTTGAAAGATGAACCTCATCTCGGCAACACCGCGAGTAGCACTCGGACCTTTCCCCGCTCTTGCCTCCGCGCCGACTAGCCTGAAATCTGAGTCAGCCCTAAACTCATGATCTAGCGCCATTCCCCATCCTCCTTTGTTTCCATAGATCGGGCTTGACGTTCCATCGCTGAAATGAAACTGGATTTTTGACAAAAGGCCTTCGGCATAGCCCAAGTTACCCCCGATCACATGCCTACCCTCGAGGATGATCTCGTTCTTCAAAGGGGTTTTGTCGTCCGAAGAATCATCGCCATACTTCGTTCCCAAGCCACGGTCTTCGTAGGAGAACTGGATCCTATCAACGGTGTTCCACGCGTAGACGCAAATCGACTTAATGATTCCACACTTATCAGACTGCAGGGAGCCGTCTATATTTAATCGATCGCTGTCAGGATGAAGTCCTCCTTTCAAAGCAATGGAATAGGGGCCGTAGCTTACGCTACCAACTTTTGAATCCGCTTTAGGATCGTCCTTGTGATGGCCTGGAAGGAAGTTGTCGAGAGAAAACGCTCTTATGTAGGCTTCCATCATCATCTTAGCATCGGCTTCGTGAAACATTCTTTCCTTAGCGCGATATTGAACCGGCTTGAAGTAATTCTCTATCGCGTTCCAATCGTCTTTGTAAGTCACGTCTTCTCCAGTGACTGCATCTTTAGTGTTGCCATTCGCGATAGAATAGAAGAACGGCGGCACGGGGGTGCCACTCTTCGTTGTATTGCAAGTAACTTTGACCTCCCCGTTTCGCCACTCTCGCCATTTTGGATAGATATCAAGGAGGAATTCTTTGTAATCGTCTACCTTGGCGGTCAGTTCCTTTTGCCACTGATCCTTGTTCTTTGCATCTTCGTACATCTCCAACCCGTGCTCAAAACGCTCCGTCAACATGGTCAGGTGAAGGTAAGCGTGTGATAGAGTGATCGGAATCAAGTGGATCGCGTTTTTGGAGCTTGTTAATTCCTGATACAGGTTATTACAGGAGACAAGAATGGCGGAGAGAAGGCTCGCTTTCTCGTCAACGGAGGCCTGGGTGTACATGTTCAAACTATCTCGCAGTCCGTTCAAGGCCGCCGTTCGTTCTTGCAGCTCGAAATCGAGAATTTTTTTATCCACGAGTTGCTCGACCTGTTCTTTGATCGCAGACCAGATGCTCTCTTTCGTGTCGGGCCAAAAAAGGTTTATGAGCAGCTTTACTACCTTGCCCACCTCTGGAATTGCAGCAGCCAAGCCTTCGGCAATGGACTTCAGGCGGTTGTTCCAAGAGTTTGGTACTTTGATCGACATATTTTCAGTTTAGCTTGGCTTCGTACGTTCATCCAGCACTTCGTGATTTTGACCAAGGCAAGCCATCGCAAAACCATTAAATATGTGAAAAGTAGGCAATTAACACACATAATTCCCCCACAATGACGTCACACAAGTTGTTAGAGGAAATCCTGAATGCATGCTCAAACGCACCTATAATCACCACGTAATTCACCTGTAATTACCACGTAATTCAGTCCTATGTAACTGCAATGTGTGTGAATTATTAAACTATCTATCTATCTATCTATTTAAGGCCCACATCCACTGGACGCGATTCGCCAACGCACCCTAGGCATGTCAAAAGTGCTATTCTTCAGTAATTGTCAAGAATCGTAAAAAGGTAAAACATAGTTGCTTTTCAGAACTGAAAAATCGAGTCGCATTGCCGGATCGCTTCCGGTGTGTGTCGGCAATTCACTCGGTTTACATCCCCTGCTAAAATTAGCCGCCTCACAAAGAGCTTCGGCAATTTGCATATAGGTAGGGTCAATGCTAATGAAAATGAGAGTCGTTAAGGAATCTTTATTGCCTAGAAAACGCCTTCCGCTGGTGATTAGGGAGTTTACGATTCACGGCGCGGCCAGCTCGACAACGCGCTTGCAAAACAAAGAAACTCCACACGCGAGACAATAGCTATGCATAACTTGTGGTCCCATGACAGCGTTGTCATTCTTACGACGCCTTCAAATGAGCATTTTCACGGCCTCTCGATGACATGAAAGCTGCGGCAACGTGATAGCTTAAATGAAACTGCAATACCATGCAGATAGATATTGGAGGTTATTTGCACAATTAAAACGTTTGTATGATTATTTCAGAGTCCTAGCAGCATAATCAATTTTCTGTAGCTCATTTGAAGCAAAATAATTGACTAGCGACGTCGAGCTAACCGCGTCGTAGATCGTAAACTCCCTATTGTCAACCGCTGGAAACGTCAGTTTGACATTTTAAATCTATGAGTCATAGCAGTTTTACGCCCGGTTTTATTTACAATGTCAAGTTTTCTGTGATCACAGTTGGAACTTTGTTTCCCCGTGCAGTGTCGGTGTCTCGGTGACCCGGCTTTCTGATCAATTTTTCTTCCGAATTTTTTAGCACAAGCCCCAGCTACATATTTCTTCCCTTTACCAGCCGGGATTTTTCATAGCACTTATACAGGTCTCTCTGATACTGTTTTTACTACCAAACCCCACTTGTAAAGGGATTACGAGGTGTAAAGGGAATATGTTTCATTAAAGTGAGGTTGATTTAATAAGGATAAATGCTATTGAGGAATATGATTCAAAATTTCCACTTGATGACACCTAGCTAAAGTAGGCTGGAACATGTAATCAGATAAAATTGCCAAAAAGCTATACCCCCGAAAGATCATAGCCTGCGAATAACAGAAAGTTTCCCCCCACCGTGGAACAAGCGTATAAATAGATTCTGTTATTCACAGGCTAGAAAGATCACTGTGACCAACTGTTTCCAACTGCCAACATGTTATTTGGTCCTGGAAACTATATTCACGCAGATTTGTCGCCGTCTTGATAACCGAAGTTTGCTAGAAAAGTTCAACGGTTTCATACTAGTACAAACATGGAAAAAGAAATATCTTCACAGGAGAAATTAACACAGAGCTAAGCGGAAATAAATTAAAATTAAGACTAAAGACTAGCGTACACTGGTGCATATTGCACGCACACATGTCACTGCAAGTTCATGCCAGCCAATTCATATAAACTGTACAGAGGTTATCGTGTACAGACAGACGCTTTGCACAAAAAACTACATCCTTTCAACAGCGTATTTCAATTGCTAACTATGGCGTTTTTATATACAAATAGTGTCATAGTTTACTCACAGAATTCTGTGATCGTGGGAGAGAAAATAGGCTTCGCATTATTGATTGTTTCGATTCAATGATTGAATTAGTTTTATCCATGATGTAATTATAAGTTATCAAAGTCTTTCGCCTATAAAATGTAGGATATTTTAGTATGACATTATCTTAGAATCCAAAACTGGACCCGCCTTTTCTTGGATCAGACTTGGCGAAGATTTTTCCATCTAACTCCTTGGAAATTGCTTGCACAACACAGTGGAAAGATTTGGTTTCGATGGTGTGTCCATAGCCTTTCAGTTCTTTGATGATATATGGTGACAGGTTGCGAGGTGGTTGTTCTATAGCTGTGTAATTAGGAAGAAGTTGGTTGTGGAAATGAGGCATGGTAACGGCTTCACTTGTGTTACGACCAAACCATATTTTGTTCATCGTTACCTAGATTTAGTTTAAATATTAGAAATTAACATATTAATAGTCTGGTTTGGCAAGTGTGGTGTAACATGGTATGCGTATGGTATGGTTAAACATCCTTACCAATGCAGTACCCGTGGTGATCCTCGTACCCCCAGATGCCCCTGCAATAAACACGACATCCCCACTTGTTCTGTTTGTTAAAATGACAGGACTCATGGACGACATTGGTCGTTTGCCAGGCGCGATGAAATTACTAGGAGACGGTTCAACTCCGTATGCATTGGTCAATCCGGGTGTTGAGAAATCGTCCATCTCATTATTGTACGTTATCCCTGTCACTGTCGAACGCACTTTCGAACCAAAACTGACATGAAAAAAATATTAAATGGTATTAAATTAGAATTAATTATTTGTTGGAATTTGATATTTTAGTAACTTAAATGTAGATAGTTTGTAGTTTAGATATCCTGTATCTTGCCAATTTTTAAAAATAATTGCGGAAAAGCATAGACCACCCCAATGCGGGGATACTATTCTCTGAACCCCCTAGTGGCCGGAGTACTTAATCCTCCATTACTTGTGTTCCATGTAGCAAACATGTTGTCTTTTGGTACTCTGGTCTTAGTTGCATCTGGAGTGATCTGAAGTGTCCACGTGGGTTAAATTTGATAAATATTAACTTACTAAGTGTTGATGGTACTGGTAACTGACACTGCGTCTCCATTCGGCGCTAGAACTGACAAGTGAGATGTCCCCGGGGGATCGTAATTTGCATAATATCCGCCATAGTGCCTAGCGTCGGGATATGTTTGATTGGTAATGTTCATACGAATTCGTTTCGCGTAATCCTCATCTAAAAGGTCCTTTATGATCTTAAATAGACGTAAAAACCATGGCATTCTTCACTTGCAACTTTAGGAAGCATTTTGACTTTGTATAGCTGACATGTGTTACATTCTCCATACTAACCTGTGTATCATTTAGAAAGTTTTTGTCGCCTAGCAACGCACGCCTTGCGTAGGCATATTTGAAAGTTTCAATAATCTTGTGATAAACATTCGCTGTTTTTGAATTGCTTGATACGCTTTCGGTAGTGAAATTGTAGCCTAAATGTGAGAAAGTAAATATGTTAAGAGCTATTCAGTATAAACAAAGTTAGTTTAGCTTAGGTTTCTTCTTGTAGTAACACTAAAGAGATGATCCTTACTGGACCTCTACAACTATTTGACAAAATCCTATTTTGTACATTTACAAACCTTTCAGTATATTGAGCATGAACGCAATCAAGATACCGCTGGACGGTAGACCAGATGTATGCAGCTGATAATCCCCAACACTGGCATTGAGTGCTGTCTCAACTTCAACATTATAATCGTTCAAATCTTTTGCAGTGATGATACCACGATTTGAATCAATATCGTTAACGATATCTTCTGCAAGGGATCCTTCGTAAAACGATAAAGGATCGTAACTTATTCGTTCTAATGTTACAGCGAGCTTTCTGTTGACCAATCTGTCGCCCAGTCTCTTTAAACAACCATCTTCCTTCACCAGAAGCTCTCTGAGAGTGGAAAGAAAAGGCCAGGAAGTTTGCACACGGAAATTCCACATGCACCTGTTTTTAGCTCCTTTGTCAAGACTTACAAACTTACTTTAACCCTTCACGTTTTCTGATTTCTTCCTCTTCGCTTCTAATAGCGTTGTCCAGTGCTTTGCTGATAATAAAACCTTCTCTTGCTAGGTTCATCGCAGGTTTAACGAGCTCTTTCCAGTCCAGTTTTCCATATTTCTTTTGAGCTTCGTACATTCCTTTCACCTCACTCGGCACAGCAATTGCCAAACCACCTATAAGAATTTACTGCTTTAACAATTATTTAGCTGTGGGTCAAATTTCATGTTTGTTGTTTTCTTTCCGTTTGCTTGTCAGTTGTAGCTGTAGTTTATTTGTTTATTTGTAAGTAGCAAGAAGACAACATGTCACCTGTCTTAGACGCAGAGGTCGTATCATTCACGAACATGCTCTCGTTTGCCAATCCAGGTGCCTTTTCTCTAAAGTTAAAATACTCGGCAGTTCTTTTTTCCTTGATATAAACAACCATTACGGCTCCACCTCCAATGCCAGCTGAATGCATATTAACCACACCGATACAGAATAGAGCAGCAATGGCTGCGTCTACCGCCGAGCCGTTTCTTTTGAGAATTTCAACTCCAATCTTTGAACATCTCACGTCATCAGCAGACACCGCGGATTCATTGTACGGCCCCTGTTGTTAATTATTATAATTTCTACTGAGCAAACGGCTGCTTGGTAACCAAGCACTCGTGTGCTCGTAACACACATTGTCTCGTAACAAAATTAATTTAAGTGCGATCATAATTAACATGAATATCTGAAAATTTCAGGAATAGAATGGTGACCTAGATTCCTGCTTCTAGTCGTTCAGAGGTTGTACATACATGTATCTAACTTCGCTGAACCGAGTATGTTTCTCAGGCCAGCGATAAATAACAAACAATAAACCCGATAGTTGTGTGGTTCAAAACGCCTAAAATGACTGAAAGATTTGGCGGTTTCGCTAGTATTAAGGCTATGCGGATTGAATGTTGAAACGAAAAGCTTCATCTTACATAAATCATTTGAAATAATAATCAAAATGTACGCTTGCAACCTTCACTGTGAATTTCGTTTCATATACACGCGTCATGTAGAAAAAGTAATGCAACTTCAGCAGGCTACGAGCGTAACTTTCTTTTCAAGATTATCAGGATCTTTTCAGAACTTGGATGTCTGTGCTATATTTACAAAACGGGCCGCCACGAGTATCTTGGCGAGGATAAAAGCTGATAAATCAACAGGTAAAAGCCTCATTTATTTTCATATTCGCCAAACATGCACAACATAAGGCTGCGTTTCCACTTGGAAAACCAGCGAAATATTTGCGTATTTTCTTTTCAATTGAGATTCAGTATTTATGCTGTTGAAATTCAAAAGAAAAGAATGGAACCATTTTTCTCATTCTCTCATTCAAATGATCGTCTCCGTGGAGAATATTCTGGCATTTTTCAATTGTTCCAACTTACCTCCGGATTGTCCGATGGTCCTGGGGGAGGGGAGTCTGTGGGTGTTTGTGAGCAGTTGACACTCGTGGAGGTGGTTTGTTTTGTTGGGGAGAGGATGGTAGTCCTTGGGGGCGTGGATTTGTATGTCGTGGGGGTTGGTCTCCCACTTGGTGACGCAGTACTTGTTGGACTATCAGCACCATTATTTTTCCCTGTTTGACCGCTGGACTCATTTGAATCTGAATCCTTATTCGCGTAGAGGACAGCCAATGCGATGACAGCAGCAAGCAAGATTACGATGACGACAAACGAAATGAGAAGATCCTTCTTGCTATTTGACCTGTAACCACTAAATGAATATTGAATAAGAAGGGAATGTTCATGTTTAAAGGTAAGATTTTTTTAAGAACATGCATCGAAAGTCCAGCGAACTCAAGAAGCTGTTATTAGGTTATTCGCATAAATATTCGGATTTCATGGTCAAAATTGGCCTGGTTAGCAAAATTGGCTTGAATTTTTTCCACCTCACCTTTCCACATTACTTCCGCCTCCCAAAGACAAAGCTGTATTTGACATCGCAAAGCCCTCGTTCTTCATGATTTCTTTTCAACTTTCCTATAAATGAATCGCTATGGTTTGCTAATGTGTTTACATAATATTTACTAATAGTGTAAAACGTTAGAAAAGTTTTTTTTTCCGTGGTGCCATTAGTGTCATAATAGACTTTAGAGTGCCCATCTTTCCAAGTAGGTATTTTAGAAATTATCCTGGCCACTGATCTAAAAATGTCACTGACTGAATGTGACAGATTCAGGGGTCAGTAAGAAAATAAGCATGATATTGTGGGGTGGAATAGGATAGGATACGATAAAGTAGAGCAAAGTAAATTGTGAAAGTATTTACATGTAAAAAAAAGGGAAAAAAGGTGGTTAACTTTTAACTACAATTATTGGCGGAACCAAACAATCAAAATATCTGTATATTTTGGTGCTAACTACGATTAATTGACTACTTGTTTAATACAACTGACACCTGGCAAGATCTGGGCTCAAACATCATTTATGGAGTGTACATCGATGAAACGTTACTCAATCGGCCGTTTCTTCGAAGCCACAAGGGTCACTTAATAGTTAATATAAACCATGAAACAAACGTCGTACCATTTCACTTCACCTAACACAATATAAAACGGTTCAAATAACGTTTATCAATTGTATGATCAATATTGCGGACTATGGAATGAAACTTTGACACAATTTGCCAGCGCTCGTTAAGCCGATTAAGGATAAACCTTCAATGTTTACAGTTCACCTGCCGGTATATGATATTTCACTACCATAGTAATACTCAGAGCAATTCATTATTTAAGCATAAATAATATAATACAAATTATTGGCAAATGTTGATTCCTCTTTTACCTGTCTTTTAGATCGCAGAAGAAAGTCACACCACTGTTCAGCCGCCTTCCGCGCCTTGTAAACGAACTGCCGATGGCAAACAAGCTAAACATCATTTGTTGTATCGCCTCAAAGTTGTGTCTTTCATGTGCATTATTACCATTTGCGTTCAAGCTTGCGTAGTGCGGTTTTAAAACTTACGTTTGAGGTTCAAAACGTACGTTTTGTCACGCCCCCCTCTCATGATTGTAACGAAGTTCAAACGAACTTGGCTAATATCCAAAAACGTTTTTATTTGTGTAACCACAGATGTAACGTTTGCGGAAAATGTTCGTTCGTCCGTTCCACTGTGGCTAGCTGTCTGCAATGTGAATCGGTCACTTTCTCACTTTCGCTTTTACACTTGATGAAGAGCCTCGAATATTCTCAATTTCGGGCGATGAATATCCGTCCCTGGACTGATACATTTTAGTATAGGTAATAGCATGGTTTCGAGTGCAATTTGGATATAACATGCACCATTGAGTTTTTCAAAGACCTCAAAGATCTTTGAAAAACTCACGAGTGCATATTATATCCAAATTTAACAAGAAACCATGCTATTAATAACTTAATAATAATGTATATAATTTGATTCGTTCACAGTGATTACAAAAAATTGCACTTTAGTTACAAAAAATTGCACTGTGATTACAGAAATATTGCATTGTGGTTACAGAAAATTGCATTGTGATTACAGAAATTGCACAGTGATTATAGAAAATTGCACTGTGATTACAGATGTTTACACTGTAATTACAGATTTTTGCGCTGTGATTACAGTTTTTTGCACTGTTGTTTAGGATTAACTGCACTGAAATCAATCACAGTCAAGTGTACTTTTATACAATATTATATTACTCATGTTACTGCGATTGTATGACCTTGCCGTGGCCGTGAAAAAATACGTCGTGTTTCTCCAATCTGAACTTGCATTTGTATTTGGTCCACAATCATGGATTTCATTGTTCAAATTGCTGTATTTATTTTTAAACCGTATGTAAAAAGAAACGTCGTTATAAAAAGACAAGGGTCTGAGCCAAATGATGGCTTTGTTTCATGCGAAAAAAGGAGTACGTCATTCGTGTTAGTAAAAGCGTCTCCCTGTCTTGCAAACCAGTTTAGTTTACTAGTATTTCCCAATTACGTACAGGACAGGAGTATGCACGTAGGTAAACCTCAGCAGAGGAAACTGACATACGATTACCGTTTCAGATCGACTAAACCTGCCAATGGAGGAGACAATACTTGCTTTGATCCGCCGCGAAACATTTCTTCATTTGCCTCTGGGGAACGCATAGTTAAGGAATATATATGGTAGTATGAAAGAGTTCTTTTCAAATTAAAGCACAGTTGGTGCTTTTGAAAATTTAGAAGTAAGTAGTAGCAATATGGAATTGATGTTCCAGACATATAGATTGCTGTGTCAGAGTCAGACTATCAGTTTTCCATATGTTTATAAGTTTGAGGTTTCAATAAGTTTGAACATCAAGTCCATCGACAGATATTACATCAAGTCCATAGATGCCATAGATATTGTCTTTTTGGTAATATATTATTATCTTCTTGAAGAAAGATCACTTTAATTCTTGATCAGTTTCCGGCAACGCCGCAACGGACTTACGGACAGGGATCGGACCTAATTTCCCAACTGAGTAAAGTCATCTCCAGGTCGTGCATATGATATTCGTGCCATAATTTGGCCATTCAATAGTGATGGCAATATGGAAACTGAGATAACTGCGCTTATCATAGACAGCCAATATTTCGTTTACAATTTTGTCGCCGACAAGTTAACGTACAATTTTAAAAATATAGAACAGCAATGACATAATCGCCGACAAATTCTACCCGCATTATTTGTCAGCCTATGTGTTCATTTCAGTCCTTTAGCCGGCCTTATTTCGGTAATAATTCAATGTTTAATATGCCCTATTTAATCTTTAGATTAGGTTAGGATTGTGGTCAGGATTGGGCCTTAGGTTTATAGTTCATCAGGGTTAACCCTAATCCTAGATCTAACGGTAATCCTTAGTCTAAAGGATTAAATTTGTGAATTTAGGATTTGCTCATTATTGATCCTTGTGTGCATGCATGGAAAATTTTCATACTGTAAAATCTTCCGTTCTCTGATGACTCCAGTGAATATAACAAGATCCTTAGTCATATGAACCGATGATGCATTTAGTTTAGCGGCCAAATTTATATTTGGCTTAGACTGGGATACTCCAACTGAAGAAGTACGAACGAAATACAACTGGAAAACATTGAAAAATACGTACTTAAAGTTATTAGTAATATTAGTACACAAATGTTATTATGGTAATGCTCCAGTTCCAAATCAAGAACAATTTGCTAAACGAACCAGCACATACAATCTTAGAAACAGGAACTGTTTATCCTTGCCAAGACCAAAAACAGAAATCATGAAGAAATCCATAACTTACAAGGGATCAGTGCTATGGAACAAGCTTAGTAATGAATCCAGGAATTTAGAATCCTTGGGAACCTTTAAAAACACTATTGATAAACAACAGTACTTAAGCGCTACAATGTTTGACTAATTTTCTTATCTGGAAACATTGCATGGTTCTTAAAATTGTGGGTAATAACTAAATTATTTGTATATTTGTTTTTTGTAAGCGTAATTTGAACTGTTAGGATATAAGTGCACGACCCCATCAGCTTTTGCTGTAAATACATATCGTGTTGAAATAAATGCTATAATAATAATAATAATAATTTTGATTCCCGTGTGAACGAGGTAATGCTGATGCATGCCTTGTGACAATGTGACTTGTATATTGGTCCAATATACGGCACATACTTACTTATATAGGAAATCTAAATCAAACAGAATTTATCGGTATATTGATAGACTTTTAAAAGGAAGTACAAACGATCACTTTGTGATCGTTTGATTTTCACAAACGCTAAACTGTCCTTAGGTAGATTTATGATTATAATTTATGCATGGACGCCAGGCACTGGGTACTATACTGCGCATAATCTGTGCTATAATAATTTTCGATTAGACTAGCAAAAAATTGTTGGGAAACTTGCAATTATATTATTGACTAGAATCAATGATTTTATTTTGAAAAATGATGAAGTATGAAGGCAGAGGTTGGAAAACCAACCAATACGTTGTAGCTTTCGTCTGAACAGAATTTGAATAGCAACGATAATCCAAACGAAACTACTAACTAGACGGGTGCGTGGATAACAAAACGAACTCGACAGACGATTCTGATAACAATGTTCTGAGGATTTAATATAAATCAACGATACTACAGGTATAGACTGACAAACACGAACTCGTCGTTGGGATAACACAGTCGAGCTAGAAACGATTGTCCGTAGATAATACGACTGGAAACGGACTGTAGATCGATTGAGAATCGACTGGAAATCGATTGAGAATCGACTGGATATCGGTTCGAATTTGGTTTGCGCACGCACCAAACCTTTATAGAAAAATAGCGTAGAGTATGTAGATTTCTAGAGTACCAACGTGAATAGATATTGACGCGCCAATTATTTTATAAAGGCACCAACGACAGTTGCTTACTCACAAGCAGGTCCACGTTAAACACTGACTGAAGTTTGCTTGAGTCTCTTATATTTATGCAGAGCGATACCGGAACGTGCAATGGATCTGGAAATGTTGTTTTGCGCAACGGACATTGCTAGGTTAGGCTGGGAAACCGCATTGCGCATTTGCTGACTAAACTTACGCATTTTGGTTTAGCGGTTGTGGCTGCGGAAAATAACAAGGTTGTTTTTGCCAATACAATATTATAGAAAACATCCGTTGGTTAGTCTCTTCCGTTTCGAAACCAACATTCCGGCCCCTTAAAGGCGTTAAATTAGCCTTTACAAACACGTACATGGGTTCGAAACAATTGATAATAATCATTAACTATATAGAAGCATCACCGTCCGTGTGATCTACGTTAAACTTAATTGACGCATGCGCTAGGTATTTTAAGGTTTACTTATCGTTCACTGTATCTGCCTCGGATTCCAGGAATATGATCTTGTCCACGGGTCGCACAAACACAGATGTGCTGGTCTTTACCTTCACCGAACGTACCAGTCCGTCTTTCCGATTTTTGTAAACCTCTAGTATACGTCCAAGAGGCCATGAGCATCGCGGCG